ATCTCCCACCAAAACAAATGGTAAATTACAATTCTCTGAAACATTTTCAGGAGAAGGCACATTTAATAAATTGTTTTCAAAAGCAATACCTATTTCACTTCTTTGAAATATTCCTCCATCGCTCTGACGCCCTTCTGCTCCAATATCGACAAGACTAAAACAGTAATTCGCGTCACAGATAGCCAACAATACTACACTATGCAATGCATGATAATTATAAAATGTCGAGCCAGAATGGGGAGGTGCCTAAAATATTTATTTATATTAGCGACCAAAAAATATACGTATACTAGCTTATAGGCCCGCGCTTCGCGCGGGTTTCTAAGTCTGGGCTTCTAAGTCTATCCGTCTTTAATATTTTATCTGGCATATAATAGATGTTATATTTTTTATTATTTATTCACATATTTTTTTTAATGATTGACGTACTCACCGTTAATCCACTATTATTATGTATTCACCATTAATCCACTATTTTTTGCTATAATTTATTTTTATAATTTTTCTGTTTATAAATTTTATTCTATTAGCAAAATTTTTTTATTTGGTAAGGATATATTTAATACCAATTTTTAAAAAATCGATATTTGTGCGTGTGTAGATGCATGTATGAGTACGTGAGTGGGTGGGTGAGTGTGTAAAATTAAAAAACAAACACATATTAGCCATACCCCAAAAATTTGACCAATTTAAAAAAAATCGTTTGTGCGTGTGTGGGTACATAGGTGGATAGGTGATGTTTCAAAACCCCCCAAATAGATGGGTGGGGATGTAAAACTAAAAAAAAATCACATAATAGCCTTCCCTTAAAAATTAGCAAAATTTAGGTACCATTTTTTCGAAAAAATCGGTTGTCCATGTGTAAGTACGTATGTGGGTGCGTGGGTGGATGGATGGGGGTGTAAAACTAAAAAAAAACACATAGTAGCCATCCCCGAAAAATTTGCAAAATTTTGACACCAATTTCGAGAAAATCGGTCCATAAATGTGAAACATGGTGTGTTGGTGCGTGGGTGGATGGGTAGGGGTGTAAAACTAAAAAAATATCACATAGTAACCCTCCCCGAAAAATTAGCAAATTTTTGGTACCAATTCTTCGAAAAAATCGGTTGTCCGTGTGTAAGTGCATATGTGGGTGCGTGGGTGGATGGGTGGGGGTGTAAAACTAAAAAAAAACCACATAGTAGC